ATATTTGTTTTGGTCATTGCTTTCAAAGAATAATCAATTAAATGCATCTAAGTAAAGGAGAAAATCAAGTAAAATTTTTACTTTGAATGAAACAAAAACTAAAACACATAAATAAGTACCAACTTACCTTTAAGTTTTTAGAGAGAAAAGTTGGTGACAAAAAGAGCACTTGCTGGACTCATAAGAGAAAAAAAGAAAAGGTTGGGTGGACGCAACGGTGACTCGATAAGACTAAAATTTAAGTCTGAAATAATGTTAAAGATTAAAGAGAAAATGTGGAGTCGAAGCTTGAAAGTCAAAAGCTGTATGAACTATGGAGGTTAAGAATATGAAAAGAGTTTGAAGTTTGAAGAGTTAGAGTCTTCGAGAGTATTAAGGCAAGTAAGAATAGAAAAGGTCGTAAGGTGAGTTATGAGTGGAGTGGGATTATTTTTACTTCTAGAAGATGATGAGTCAAGAGAATCAATTAGTTAATTAAGGAAAATTAGTCAATTATTAGAGGTTTAGGTGGGATTAGGAATTGGAAAACAAAATAAATAAATAATAAATTAAAAATTTAATTATTAAATGATATATGAAGTTGTATGCATATTAAATAATTTGTAAAATCATATAAAAATTTTCTTAAAATGTTGTTAATTAATGCCCAATCACTTCCGCATGGAGAAGATCGGAATTTTGATATACACAAATAATTAATTTGATTTAATAGTTTGTTTTTCAAAATATTTATTAAAAATAATATTTTTAAATTAAAACTTTATAAATTTAAAATTGATATACACTTTTTTATATATAAAATGTCAAATTGACCGAAAATACATTATTCCACCGATAACAGCATTATGTGAAAAAATAAAAATCTCTTCTCTCTCTCTCTCTCTCATTTTTTCTTTTCAATTTTATCTTCATCACATTGCGCGCTGTTCATCGTCTGTAACCCACTACAGTACAGAATCGTGAATATTAACAGACTAACTTTGTTTTTAATGTGTTGTTGATCCGGATCATTTTTTCTTTTCAACTTTATCTTCATCACATTGTGCTCTGTTCATCGTCTGCAACCCACTACAGTTGACCTGGCAAATGGGCAGGTTGGGTTGGGTTAGGGTCGAGTCAGAATAGGTAACCGGTCAAAACGGGATGAGTTAAAACAGGTCACAGGTCAATGAAGGCAGACCCTGACTCGTCTATCATGAGTCACGAGTCAACCTGCGAGTTGACCCAATTAATTTTTTTTTTTGTTTTTTTTCTTTAAAATTTGTACGTATTATCATTCAAAGAAAATTATTCAAAAAATTTTTTAAAAAAATTCAACATCTTATAAAAATAATTTTTTTATTAATTTAATATATACATATTTATAGTTTCTCAGAAT